ACTCTAAATTACAAACTAATTTCTCTTATAAATTTCACATCATGTGACAAAATCTAAATGTGACAAAATTGGAGTGTATAAATATCTGCCTTAAATTTCTGAAAATTACAGTTAACACTGAATCTTCTTTTTATTTTCCAAACCTGCAGTGAGTAGACTCATTTTATTTTGCACTTGGCCCAGTACTGGGCAAGGAGTTATCACAGACTACTTCCAAAGGTCCTTTCCACACAAAATAATCACATGGGATAGGATTCAAACAAATCAACCACCAAACAAGAATCCAAAAACACAGACTCTGCTTCTTTTCAAAGGAATGATGAATGAGTAAATGAATGTTGAATTGAGTAAACTCAGCCATAAGGAAGCACCTTTGCAGAGACTGGCTAAATTTCCATTGAACAATTTTACTAAGGATTTCTTTACCAATATTTGATACCTCAAATCTTACTTGGTTATACCAGTGGTGCCTAAGCGTGCATCTGGCAAGCTAGTGCAGCTCATTGTGTCACCAGAGAACTGCAAGCTTTTGCCCCAGAAAACTGCAGAGAAGAAGTTGGGGAGGAATGGAAGTAGAGGGCGAGCAGGTAATTAAGACATGAACTGACCATCAGGAGAAAGTTACAGGCCAGGTAATTACAGCAACCCACTAGTGAGTGGACAGCCACCTTGCTCTATTAAGATATGACAGAATCACTGAATACTCAGGGTTGAAAGGAACCTCTGGATATCATCTACTCCAACCTGAAGGTGTGTTGAGTGGAACACAGGCAGTGAAGAATAAACACTGAGGGAGCTGGAGTTTCTTTCCAGTGAGTGTTAAGAACTACAAGCAGTGGATTAAACGCCTCTGACCCATATTTTCAAGACCCCAGAAGTCCATGATAACTGAATAAGCTCTCCTGTACATCATTCTGTGGAACACTTCCCACTTCCCATGCAGCCAGGACTGCAAAGAAGAGGAAGAGAAAGGAATAAACAAAGTGGCACATTCTTCAACTTAAAGAGCTGACATTAATAGTTGAATGTGCACTATGTACCTCTTCATTCAAAGGAAGAGAAGGAAAGCTTGTGTTCTTTGCCTGAAGAAGGCTGACTTGCCCTGTAGTAATACAACTTAAGTAAAGTTATGCTTGACTGATCTAAGCCAACAGAAGTAAGACTTTTCAAATGTGTTTCTCTTTCTTTAAATAGAAAAATAAAAGCTCCATTGATACTGAACTTAGTACTTCTATAGTACAAAGGTTATCACTTTACCCAGTATCCTGAATGTAAGTAAAGCAACCCCTCAATGAAAGATGCATTAAGTCACCAGCATTTTACTGTTAATATATAATCATTGTTCCTTACATCTATCCTGAGCCACAGAGCAGATATTACAATTCCCTTGGTCAGGGTGCCTCCACAGCATCCAAAATTTGCAAGGACTGCAACATATAGTGAACTTGTGTATCACCTGCAACTATCCCAAACACCCAGAGAGGTTCTGAAGGGGGAGCAGGATACTGGCAAATTCCTGCTTCCCTTGAAATTCATGTAGTACATAAACACTCCCTAAAAATAGACTTTTAGATAATGTATAACTTTATAATTCTTCTAATTCACAACAAAACCTAGACTCTTATTTTAGTAGTTCTGGACCTGAGTGCTCAGACATCACAGCCATACACAATGGCAGCTGGAGAAGCAGTACACTGAAGTTCTCAAAACACATTATCTTTCTTGTCCATCATGTACTGCACCATCTACTACAAAGCCTTTTCCAGGCTAACTGGTTCCTAATTCAGTGTTTTCTCCAGTTATTTGCATGGAATCTAATCCAGCAAATACCTGAATTCATGTAAATTCTATCATTCAGTGGGTTTGGATCAGTACAGACTGTTGAAAGTCACTAACATAGACAATCTTCTGTCATTTTACTCCCTCCAAACAAAGGCATAAAGATCACAAATGCCTGTTATGCGATACCAGGGAGTGTGCTGGATGTTATGTGACCACTGCCTACTACGTAACCAGAAATCATTAACAGGTTTCCCCTCTAAACACAAAACACTCAACTGGCAAAAAGCAGCAAATGCTTCAAGTAATCTGTCCTACTAGAGGGGGAAAGAATGTGGTTCCCTGTCATTACATTAATATTTTTCAGGCTGTATGCAAAAGTGTCATGGCAAATCAATAGTGTTAGCTGCATTATGTCTCCATCAAGAGTGAACTCCGAATTAGCTCAATTAGGAATTCTGCAGCTCAGTTTAAGCATTCAGCTAAGGGGAATGGACAAAAATTCCAACACAAAGCACAGGATATGGCCATTCTTGGTTAAATTATAATGATTCTTTTCAGGTGGGGACTCCATTAACATATTAATTGATAGCAACTCTCTTATATTAACTTCTCTCTGATTATGATCATGTGTGGACCAGGTATCAAAGTGTGTCCTCAATACTGACTTTCTCTAAAAGTACTTGAAATTTCTGTGGTATGTATACTATAGAGGTGGAAAATTAAAAAGTTATCTTCCTTCTTCTCACTGGACCCCACCCTATTTGGCATCTTCGTTACCTCAATTGCCCAAGAGTCTTGGAATTATTTATTTAAGTGAATATTGTAACAAACACCTCTGCAATCTCATTTAGCCTGAAAATTATTTACCAGATGGAGTTCTCTCACTTGGGAAGCTCTGGGAATAAGTAGACACAAAGCTATTTGGCTTCTGCCTCACAAAGGCTCTTAGACAAGCATTCATTTTGCTCACCTTGAAGGCCACCACCTTAGATGTGAATCTGATTTTAGACCCTCACCTTTCTATTCATAACTGGCTTTAAAAGCTTGTTTTCTATTTACTCTGATGTTTGATTTGCATGGCACATTTGAGGAGTCATTTCAAGTTACTTGCAATTTTGCTGCAGGAAAAAGAAGTAGATCTCTACCTACCATATATTCTAGCCTGTCCACAGTGACATCAGCTTAAAAACTCATTTCATTGGATCGTTCTGGGTATTTTGCATTTACAAGCTGTTTTTTTTTTCCAAATCGTTAAATAGATATAGTGACTGATAAAACCAAATCTTACTGCAATTATGTTTCTTCAGATGTCCTCAGCAGGATCGCTCTTAGGCAGCACAGTGTAATTCCAATAAGGAAAATCCTTCCTATTGTCTGAGTTGCATTACATGCATATTCCTCCTCCTAGTTAACTCCTTACCTGCCAGTCTCCACTAAACTATGATATCACCTTTAACAGAAGCATCCTGCACTCCTTCCACACAGGAGGGGTGGTCAACACAGTACCTTAGAAAAAGGACTCATTCCAACTATCTCTTCTTTATGTCATCCCTCTCACCTCCTACTTCCCTTAACCACAACCAAAAAAAAAGTTGATTTCACATTTTTTAGTCTGAAATCCCCCAACTCCCATTATAGAAATGCATTTAAATACCACACAAGTGCTATAGCAAGAGGCAGACAGCTAGATTTTGCATTTGCATCTCATCCCCTGAGGATACCGGGGCTGAGGAAGGAATATCTAACTCAGAAATAGAAGGTTCAGTACCTAGTATCTTTTATTTCGGCGTCTGCTATTCCACTTGATCAATAACAACCGCAGTCTCCACCGGCTTCGAGCGGGGACTCACACAGCCGAGCACTCCTGGACCGTCTTCCTAGAAATGGTGACACAGGCGTTGCTCCGAGGAACCCCAAGCCCCCGCACCCGTCCTCCGGCAAGTCTCGCTGCTTGGCACCTCAACATTTTCTTCGGTCACTTCGTCAGCAGCCAAGAGGAGAAGCATCCATGGGAAAAATGGCATATTACAAATTTTGCTTTGGGAAGCAGAGCTCGGTTCAGACCATTGTCGGGAGCAGGAGGGGGGGGAGCGGCTCTTAAAGCTCCAGCAGCCCCTTTCGAGTAACAGCATCTTGCAGCTGGAGGCAAACGATCGCACAGGGAGGGGGCAGGGCGAAAGCATCTTTATTTATTATCTTTTGCTAACTCTAACTGAGCGGTATCTGGCTTCCCTGGTTCTTCGATACCTCTCAGGCTAATTATGTCTGTGCGTGACTGAAGTCCGCGCGCACGCACGACTGCCTGCATGATCAAAAAGCAAACGCGGTTTTCTCTTTACGGAGAGATCCTCTGCCCACGGCTGGTCGCTGCCGGGCTGGCACCGTGCGAAGCCCGCTGTCAGCCGCTCGGAGCCGGAGCGGGGCAGCCCCGGGCGGCGGGCACCCACGGCACGTGGCCGCGCCCCGGGCACCGCTGCCAGCCCGCATCGCCCGGGGACGCCGGCGCCGAGACCGGCACGGCAGCGCTACGCTACTACATCCTGTACTTTAAGGAGCTCAGGCAAGCGCCACAACATCTCTTCTAACCCTAGAGCGTACTAAAACGTATCATCTGCGGAAATCCGACCGTGAGAAAGCGGGGATAAAACCTGCCATAATGCCAGCAGTCCGGGTGTGTAATTATTATCAGACACTGGGGACCGCCGGGCGCGGGCAGGCGCCCTGTGCCCGGCTCCGAGCCCGGCCGGGGCCGGAGGGAGCGGCGCGGCGGAGCCGGGCTGGGCGCGCTGCTCGGCGCGGGGACTTCCCCTGGAGCCGCTGCAGTGGTTTTCACCAGTCCTTAAATAAATTCTGAAGTAATCGCGTCTGCCTCCTCTGCCTCACGCACGCGGCTCCCCAGATGCTGCCGCCGCTGCTTCGCGGCTCGCTCAGCGTTAATTCCCTCACGCCCACTCCTTAGGAAAAGAAATAAGAAAATGAAAAGGGAACACCGAGGCGTAACCTGGATGTTCAGCGGCGCTGCCTCCAGCCAGTGCAATTCTGTGCCCACGGCCGTGCGGCCCCCGGGCGGCTCGGAGGGGCTGGAGGGGCTGCAGCATCCGAGCCCCCGGCGCCGCCTCCGGGGCTGCCCCGCACAGCCCGGCAGCGCCGGCACGGGCGGCCCGAGGCGGGCGGGGAAAGAGGGGTGGCGAGGTGGGACAGTGGTGGGTGTCCGTGGAACCGGGCGTTGTGGATGAACGAGTACCAGCCGGCGTTTTCAGAGCCGGCTTGAGGATGTTTCATCAGCCCAGTTTGAGGATGTGCATGTATTAATTACTCAGACTTTGTTCTTGCAAAAAATATTTCAATATTTGTTTACATTTAATCCGTGAAGGATTGACTGTGTTGCTTCAGAAGCATGAAGTCTCTTCATGTGCTGTGGAAATGTGCTGGAGAGAGGAGGGAGCCACCGCCAGCAGCGTGCTGAGACTCAGTGATGCTTGTGCTCAGTGATGCTTTTTGCTGGACGGCTTCACAGGAGGTGTGACGCCGTATTGTGGGAAATACAAATGCACGGAGGATGCACATCCACACTGTAAGGCATATAGCTGAGAAGAGTTGTCAATATGGACGTTTCAAATCCAGGTGCAAAGAAAACACTAGTGCAATGCCAGTGTGTGTTGCCAGAGCTTGGACTTTCAGTGCAATGCATAGGTGAAAAAAGAAAAAAAGAACTTGTCCTCTCCACCTGTGCCACTATTCCAAGTGGCTTTTTGTCAATTCACTTGATCATTCAGATCATTATCTTGACTTAATTATCAGTATTCAAACCATTAGAGCAGTTGCCTGATTATCCCACTGTAGCTGAGGGCAAGAGCTGTCATCTATGTCATCTACCACATGACTATGACAAATCTGAGCTTTGAGTTAGGCAAGTAAGGAAAAAGTAAGAGACTCAAAAGCAATTACTGAGAGCAATCATGCTCAACAGACACCACCCAGGCTGGCTGGTATGAACTGCATCAAAGGAGGACATATCTGATGGGGTTTTTACATTAAGGTAAAGGTTTTCTTTCCCTTTCATTGAAATTAAAGATCAGGATTTGCACCTTTGAACTCTCTAGAACTCACCACTGTTACTTTTTATAACACATCCGTATGCATGGAAGTATTACTCTTTTCTAAATATTGATAAAGATGGGTGTTACTGATGACATCCTGCCTTTTCCCGCTTTCAGACAGCATTTTCCTGCATAAAGTGTTTGTCAGACGTGAGAGATCTGTCCATGTTCACCCAAGGTGACTGTTTTCAGTACTCACCTTGGAAAGTATTCTAGTCCCTGTTCCATGTAATGGAGGGGACAATTATTTGCAAGCTGCATAGCAGACTCCTTCACAGCCATTTGATTTACAAACATTTGTAGAATAGTTTTGGAAGTCTGTGGCCCCTCCGCTCCTCATGCCCATCCTCCCTACTGACTGTCAATCATTAAAGCAAAAACCCAGCACAGACAGATTATTACTGCTACTCAAGGTATCGGCATTGCTGCCTCTACTAGTTGACCTGCTGCTCTTACCTTCTGTGTTGCAGATTCATAGATGAGTAAGTGGCTGCAGTAGTGTGTGTCACAGCACTGAGGTTACTGCAGAGTGCAGGAGCTGCCAATTAGCTCTGTGCTTTGTGGCACCAATTTAAACTGGAGCCTACTTCTCATCAAGCATGTGGGGGTTTGAGGTCAATAAGATGGAAGAAGAACAGAAATCTAAAGAATGGGAAGTGAAGAACTATGAAAAAACCACAAAAAACTGTGATGAAGAAAGATACTTGGGCTTGGGAACAATAAAGGAATTCTCCCTACAGTAAGGGACATCTTTTGGCAAAACCTAAGTGGAGGGTTTTGATCAAGAGCATATGAGCATAATAATATATTCCATGGAAACTAGTAGAGAAAGGTATTTAGTGTACTATTTAATGACGAGCTTAAAAAAACCTTGAATGGAAATTGACCATTAGATCTCCAAAACATAGTTTTGCTTATCTAAGCTTCAAGCACTATACTAATTCTATTATCTATTATCTATATCTATTCTATTATTCCTAATCATTCCATTAATTACCCCAGAAGTATGAACCTGTTGCTCTGGGAGGTTCTGTATTTGTGTATATATGTACTGGCATCAGGTGTTTGAGTAACTGGAACTTAGGGCTGATAAAGTAAGTGGGTGAACACAGATACAAAGAATACAGTGAGATGTATTCCTTATTACCTTAGAAAGTCCTCCTTACCATTTGCCAGGTTACTTTTAGAAAAATACATAATCTTATGTCAGAAGGACACATCTGAAAGCTATCTTCCTTCCCTCTGTCAGTGTTGCCATGGGGCTTTCTCATTTTCTGTCTCCAACAAAGATGAAATGGAGAATAATGAAATCCTTTGCTACAAACAGGATAAAAGAGGACACCACCATGCTCTGGAGGAATAAATGATCATATAAGGAGGTGAAGACCAACTTGGAAAAGATTTGCTGTTACTTTGAAAACATACAGTGCAAACAGAGGAGCAAGTAATGGTGGCAAACTTAGGTGATTCAGTCCACAGAGTAAGTGGAAAGCGATTCCTGAATCATACCTGAATCATGCTAATGATGCACCATTTCAATTTTTAAAGCTTTTTAGTAGGTACTACAGCATGTTGAAGGCCTGAATAAGGTTTCTACATTTAAATGAAGGAAGGAAGATATGTCTTGGAAATGTTACATTGGAAGAAAAGGAAAACCAAAACAAAAAATGCTGCAATGTTTAGAGCTAGTCTTCCCTTGGTAAAGAAGCCATTAGAGACTGAGAGAGAAGCACAAAAATAAAGTTCAGAAGATCTTGGCCAAGACTGGGAAAAATGTAATATTGTGTGAATAAATTACATTCCAATGTAATTTGAGTTAGAATTCAAGTTGTATTTTACAATTACATTTATGCTTATTTCCTTGAGGTTCTCCACATATTATCATGGCTTTAAGGGTTCCTCTGTAGTTCCTCACTTTAAATTGCTTACCTATTTCAGCTGTGAACTTGATTGCTGCATTTTATGAGAAGACTGTCATAAGCCTTGTTTTCTCTCTCTCACACACACACACATACAAAATCCATGTTGGCTTCACAAATCAACATGGCAGCCTTAAAAGCCTCTCATTGCAGACATTTGATGGGGAGGGAGAAAGATCAAAGGAAGAATATACCTTTACCTTAGATGTGATTTGTTCAAAGCCAATTAAAGATTAATAAAATACAAGCCTGAGAGTTTTATAGCATAGTTAGTACCTTTTGGTACAGATGAAAGTCTTTAGCTGGGAAAGGACAGTTTTTATTTCTGTCTCAGTCTGGTTTGCAGGGCAGGCTCTAGTTTGCAGCTATAGGATGGCTGATTGGGCCACTGGAAATTTTTGGTCCTACTGCTCTCCTTTGGTGTGATTTTTTTGGTGACATGATTTGAGGGCTGGTAAAGACCTGCCTGAGTATCCCAGTTACTCACATACTGTTGTATCTGAGACCCTGAAACTAAAGGGAAAAGTATTTTTTTGTGATCTAAGAGTGGGTTCAAGAACAATAATTTTGTTCTTTTTCCACTCTGTCTTATGTTGGTCAGCTGAAGTATCACTTGCAATGAAAGTGCCATAAGATCTGAGTAAACATTTTAATTCAGTCTGCTACCAAAATACTTATGCTGTAATAGAAAGTTTTACTTTACCTAATTGCCATAAATTTGAAACTTGTCAGTTTCAATCGAAAAAAAATGAAATTCTCATTCAGCTGTATCAAGAGTAGTAAGCAGTGCTTACTACTCAGATTCTCAGAATACAATTTATTTATTATTTTAATTATCTTCAAGAAATAAGTGCAAGCAAAAGAGTGCATGAAGGCATGAAACTGCTTGTGTTTCTGGCATAATTTTTTGTCTCGTTTCATGTTTTTTACAAGTGGCCTAGCATTGTCAGTGGTATGGAACAGATCTGATGGGTAACAGCAATGTCTTTAAAAGGTGCTAAAATGAAGATGTGAAAGAGAAATTTGCATTATATGCACACTGTTCAGCTATGTAGCTTCCTTTTAATCCATGAAAATGTAAAACATACAGATTATCAAAACAGCAAGTCTAATCAAGAAACAGTGCATCATGGTGTTAAAAATACTTTAAGCATTTTCATGTTTGTGATCATAATGCATTTGTTAAAGGTCATTTAATTCATAATCCGCTTCATTACATAGTATGAGTTAAGGGAGGAACTAATTCCAAAGCAAAGCTCAAGAATCATAAAGTAGATGTTGACCAGAGGAATCAGCAAATAATAACATGACACATAACTGCTGCTGCTGAAAGATTTTGTCATTAAGAAACAATCTAATCTATAATACCATTGATAGTAAAACAGCCATCATAGCCAGCATCACAACAAACTGACACCACTAGTCTGTCCACCACTAGATTCTTGCTACATAACAAATGAAAAAGTTTAGAAGGTAAAGACCAATAACCTCCCCATCTGAAAAAGTCAAGATGTTGAGGCATTGCACAGGTGTTTCAGGTCATGCCTGGCTCATTCACATATAAATAATTAAAACTTGTTGGCACTAAATCCAGGTAAAACCTTATTTGAATCAGAATTTCTGCACTGGATTGCCAGGTAACACTATCTCAGGGAGATAGCTTGAGCTAGCTAAATTTCCTCATCTTTCAGCTCTGCTGCTAAAGTGCTATCCATCTGGATGAAAATCCTTCAATGACCAGGAAACTGCATTACTGCATTGTGGTGCAATATTGCTCCTCAGCTAGGCAGGTTAGCCAAAGAAAGCCAAAATTCAAACTCCACTTCTTATTCCAGATTTTATGTACACAGAGAGAGAATTTTAAAACAAGTCCCAATTCTCAATGTTTTCAAATATTCCATGTCTGTAGTTTGAATTAATTAAAGTTTAGGGGTTGACAGTTATGCTCTTTTATTATAAAAAAATGCTTCATTATTGCTCAAAATCTCATCAGCTCAGCAAAAATAAGAAAATTAAGGCCTCTCAGAGGATTTTTGTAGCTTCTGGGCTGAATGCAGCAGTGTATAAAGATGCCAAAGCAAAGACACACAAGAAAACATGCTGAAGTAAGACAATTCATTGTACACCACCTGCCTGTGACAAGATAAAGTAAAAAATGCACAAGAGATGCTAGTTAAAACAGTTGTTAGTGGAAATGTTGTGTGAATTGCTTGAAAGTAATATCAATATAATCAGAGAGAATAGGATGGAAGGAACCATAGGTTAAATGCATTATATGAAAAGTTAAACAAATTTTCATTACAATTTTTTTTTTTTTACTTTAAAAATGTCTACACATCTTTTAACCATCCACATGTAGCAAAAACCTGTCCCCTTCCACTTTGGTGCAGTTAAGATGATGATAACTTCTGGTGCTAGGAAAGAATTTAGTAAGATAATTGGTTGCTAACAGAATAAAGCCTTGCTTTTTCAATACACAAAGTCAATCGTTCTGGGGATTCCAACCCTAAAATCCAATATCTGCTGTTGTTCATTCCTACTGTCTGTAAAATCTTTAAAGAATGCTGATTTGTCTGTGGGGCTGTTTTATATCTAGGAAATCTTCCTCATAGATATGCAAAATAACATTTATTAATTTTTTTAAATAAAATACTCATATGCTTACAGAACAAAAAAAAAGTAACAATACAATTGTAAATCTTTCTCCACCAAGGTTTTTTTTTATTTATTTACCATATACATGTACTGGCTGTTTCACACTTTTTTAAGGTTTGCAGTGTGGGTTTTTTGTTTTGTTTGGGTTGGGGTTTTGTGTTTTCTTTTTTTTTTACTTGTTTTTTCATTGAATTGTTAATTAAATTACACTAAAGCAAAAGAAACTAGTTTTTATGATTTCTGTGTAATGTAAATTAATTTTGTTGAGTGCATAGGGCCAGTTACAAAATGAGGCCTTTAAAAGAAAAATAGAATGGGAAAAAGAAATAGAATTACTTATTTACTGTGGAGTCTAACAGTCCTGT